AAAGAGGGTGGATGAGTGTCCAGGCAAGGTCATTCTAGCTTAGTCTCCCTCTGCAAGGGGTGGGGCCATAGAAGAGGGGAGGTGATATGGAGGAGGAGCCAGCCACAGTGGGTGGAGCCAGAGTCCTGGTATAAATTCCTCAGAATTGAGGAAATTGAAAATTTGGACTGTCCCAATGTGAGGCTGTCCCAGGGAATCATTCTTTAGGAGACATCAGGGGTCAAGTCTGAATCGGTAAGAAGGCTGCGCAATGGCTCCATGTCCAATGGTGCCTACCTGTTTCTTCAGACTTTTCTTGCACCCTATATGATTATATGCCCTGATTGTCTCTACTTTGTCCCCCTTACCTGGCACCCTGCTGGGGACCTTTGATTTCCCAGAGCTAGAACTCCTTGTTACTCAATCCTCTTAGGTCTCCCAAGGCTTTATAAAAATTGAAACCTACCCCTGAGTTCCAGGTATGTGCTCCCTTTAAGGCCCCCCCCCAAAAAAAGCCCTGCTCCTTCAGGATAGTTTCCTCCTTGCTTCCTTATGACTCTTGCTTTCCTCTGCTACTAACATGGCCCCAACACCTCTCTAAGACTGTCCTACAATCCAGTCTGTTCCTAGCCTTCCTCCCTCTGCACTGGGACTCTGGAACACACACTTGTCTTCCACAGTCTGGTCATTTTCCTGGAAGAGGAGACAGCAATGGGGGCAGAGCTGGGCTCTTGTCTCTCCTCACTCATGACAGGGACCCTCACAGGGGCCACCTTCCCTATGCCACACCATCAGACCATGAAAGGTGCATCAGAGCCTAGGACTTGGCTGGCATTAACCAGTTTCTCCTTGTCTGCCCACCAGTAATTAGAAGCTGGCAGGTGGGTGGTGAGGCAATGGCTTGGAATTGTTTTCACCAGCATGGAACTACTTTCCCTGGAAGCAAAAGCCTGTCTCAGCCAGCTCCCATGACTGTGTCCCCGAAGGGGAGGGAAAGCATGTTTGATGCCATTGATAGAAGATAGAATTACGAGCTTTCAAACATCATCTTAAGGACCAAGCCACATACCAGCTCTTGGGGCAGTACTAAATTTTCTCTGCCCAGTGGGGCAGGTCTGTTCATTAGACTTTCTGTTTGCAGTTTGCTGTGTGCCTCCTTTGGGCCAGGTGAGCATGGGATGAGGCATCCTTAAGGGCAGAGAGTTATCTTCCTGGATCTGATTCCCTAGAACTAGGGCCTAGAACCTCACACAATACATGGGAAGTAAGTCAGGGAAGCACAGTAAGTTCCAACAACTTTAATGCCTATTGCTGCAGTAGAATGTCTGGGCCTCTATGCCCAATGTATGTCTTAAACCCTAACATCTAAGAGGCTGGTGTTAGAGGTGGGGCCTTTTCAGGGGCAGGGAGTAGAGGGATGATTAGGTCTCAAGGGGGAGCCCTTATGAATGGGCCTCATGAGAGGTGAGATTTGTCCCTCTACTATGGGATAACAGAAGGCACCATCTTTGGATCAGAAGCCCTGCCCAGACATGGAACCTGCCAGTACCTCCAGAGCTACAGAAGCTTCACCCAGTTTCTGGTGGTTACTAAGTTTCCCATGGTTCTCCTGTTCTGTGGCCAGAGAGACTCCTGCTGTCCCTGCAGCCACCCAGAGTCAATAGTGGTTTTTCTTAGTGGTTGGGATGAACCAAGGTACTCATCAGAACCTTTAACACCCACTAACTGGAAGAGTGGAGGAGGGCATGCCATTCAATTCCCCCATCTAATACAGACACAAGTGAATCATCTTCCTGACTCCTAGAATGGACTGTCCAGTCTCATCTTGCTTAGAATCCGAAGGCTAAATAAAGCTGGAGAAGTATCTCAGCAGTAGAGTGATTACCTTGTACACATGAGGCTCTAGGTCCAATCCCCAGCAACACCAATAAGTATATAAATAGGCCCATGGCCATGTTCTGCATGTGGACACCACCTTCAAACCTGGACCAGGCCCCAGAGCCCAACAGTGCCCTGTGGAGGGCCAGGCACTGGCAGCAAGCAGGTACCTTGGGTTGGTGCTCTGAGACCAAGCCTGGCTTTGAGAAGATGGATCTAACATTCAGAAAGACCAGAGTTTCTCAAAAAACAAAAATAGCACAGGAGGCAGACAGGATTAGGCTGAGGAGTGCAAAACAATAATCTTGGTTTCTTTCATAGGTGGCAAATAAAGGACTTTGTGGTCATTTAACAGAGGACTCAGGGAACTGTTTGAACCACATGACCTGGGGGACCAAATGCAGACACAAAATTCAAAAGATGAAAATCCCTCTCTGGTTAGTGACTTCTAGCTCAGCTCTCCTCCCAGCCAATGCTACAGGCTTTTACATCCTTTCTAAACTTGTGAGATAGAAAGGGGTGTGGAGGGAAGGGAGGAGAGAGGAAGCATGGGAAGCATAGGATGTGTCTGCCATCCTGATAAGGGAAAGCTCAAGGGAGAAGTGGCATTTAGGCTTGTGACTAGATGAGCTGACCCAGGTCCACAGCAGATAGTGTCAGGAAGCATCTAGGCTGGGGCACTGTCCAAGCTGACACCAGGGCATGCTGCTTTAAGATCTCTGTCCTTGGGGATATTGTGTTGCACCAGGCCGATGTCTACTCTCCCCATGAGAGGCAGTAAAAAAATAAAAATAAATAAAAATAAAAGAGGCTGTTTCATAGGAGCCATCTGCCAGGCCACACATCCCAAGCTCCCTCTTTGCAGCCACTTTGCATATCACGGTACCTCTCTCTGCCCAGGGCACCTCTGAGCACCAGTGTCTGATCAACTCTTCTCTGATCCTCAGAGACAGTTTCACAGGCCTGCAGTTTAAACCTTTTGGACTAGAATTGTAATGCATCTTTATGATGAGACAGCCTGCACCTGCCTGTCAGGGCACCAGCCATGAAAGATACTGTTTCCAGAATGGGGATGAGAAGGAATGTGGGGAGGCAGGTCAGGCCAGCCAGAGAGTGCAGGTCCTATGGCTGGGACTCAGAGAGAGGATAACAACTCCCTGGGCAAGGACCAGAGAGAATGAGGGGTCTGAAACACGCTGTGAGCACTCTGGGGACCCACAGGAAACTTACTTGGGATAATACACACGTGACACATAATCTAACAACAGTGATAATCACTAGACAGATGCCTCTCTACCCAGGATGGTGTCATGTTTCAGAAAATCTATGGTAGGTTGAACATAGCTTAAGTAAAAAGTATGTCACTCACCTGACACACCTAACACTGTGGCTTAGCCACACAGCACTGCACATTTCCCTACATGTACTGCGGCTGACTGGGGCTACAGTTGCTACCACTGCCGCATGTCTTGAGAAAACCTTATACCACCTATGGCTGGCCCAGGAAAACTGAAAAGGCAAAATGCTAAGTTCAGTTTCTACTGCCTATGCCTTGCTTTTAATCGTGTGAGATGAGAGAATTCCCCCTTTGAGTCATCATAGATCAGGGAACATCTGCACTCAAGATTCCAAGTGTGTGTCCCTCAAAGGTCATATTGAAGAGGGATGGGAGACCTGTAGTGGTTGTCACAACACCATTGAGTTCCCAGGGCTCAGTGAGATGAGTGGAGCTGCCAAGTCACCAGATCTGATGGACCAGCCTGGGCTTCAAGGCTGATTTTTCTGGACTTGCTGTTCATGGACCTCCTGGTGCCACTATACCTCTGCCTAAAATAGTCTACCTGACCTACCAGAATCCTTTACCCCTCATCTAGTGCCCTCTCCCAGCATCTCTGACAGCCTTTAGATCTTCAATATTCATCTCATGGAGCTTGGCCAGGAATCCTGTGTCACAAAATGTCTTTACTGCTTGGCTGGAGCCCCCGAGAAGCCTTTTACTGTGTGTAGGCATTGGTTATCCAAGCACCACACGAGGAAGTGTCCAAAACCAAACAGGTATGTTCAGCCTTTTCACATTGCAAAAACATAAAAGTTCAAATTGAAGAATTGTACAATCAATTTATCAAAACAATTGGAGGGAAGGGAACCTCATAGTTTAAGTTTTTGGTTTTGTGTTGAGCCATATTTGTAGCTCTATCCTGAGCCACATGAGGCCACATATAGCCCACAGGGCACAGGCCAGACATACCTGCTAGGATCTATGAGTGCAGGTGTTGGTGAAGCACAGGTACTCTGAAGTGAGGATGCTTGGTGCCCTGATTTGGTTTCTGTTGCTGTGGTAAACAACATCCATGACCAAAAGCAACTTGGGGAGTAGGGTAGTATGAAAAAGAAGCCCCCATAAATCTTGGACATTTAAATACTTGGTCCTCAGTTGTAGTTGTCCTGACCCACAGGACAGGAAGGGGAAATGGGGACAAGAAACTCGAGAGAATGACCACAAGACAGGATTCTGATCAAGTGGCAAATTTTATTTTTTCCAGGCTAGCTTATATGGTCAGTAGTATGGGGTAAAGGAGAAGGGGAGAAGAAGCCAAGAGCCAGGTGTTAGTTTAAGCAGGATGTTAGAAAACTATAGAAAGAGGATGTTGGCAGGGTAAAAAGTTCATGGGTGGTGGGGAGAGGGAGGGTTACCCAGGTGAGTGGTGGGACTGGGGACGTTTTCCTAGGTGAGTGGGCCTGTGTTTGGAACAAAGGATTGACGTCTGGGTCATGTTGTTCCTTCTGGGTACTTCTAGAAGCCATTTATAATCAAAAGACAGTTCTATAACCGTGTGGCCTGCCAAGTTTGGCCTAAAGGTTCATGCCAAGCTATATGGCTCCCAACACTCAGTTGTTGGTGTTTTGAGGCAGGAGGCTTAGGAGCTGTGACCTTGCTTGAGGAAGTGTGTCACTGGGGGCAAGCTTTGCACCATTTCAGGGCACTCTCTCTGCTTCCTGTTTGTGGTTTAAGATGTGAGCTCTCAAAAAGAAAGGTTGGGAATGCTGATGAAGAAAGTTTCTGAGTCTTTCACTGGTGAGATTTCTCACATCTAACTATGTGACTTTCAGCCCTGCTGGCCTTGGCATCCAAAGCTACTCTCCCTCCCCACTACCGCTATGGGATGAGCCGTCCAGGCTCCCTATCAGACAAGAGGAAGAATCCTCCATGGAGCAGGTGGCGCCCAGTGGTGATAGAGCCCATCTCTGATGAAGACTGGCACCTATTCTGTGGAGACATGGTGGAGATCTTACAAGGCAAGGATGCTGGGAAGCAAGGCAAAGTGGTCCAAGTCATTCGGCAGCAGAACTGGGTTGTCTTGGAGGGGTTGAACACGCATTTCCACTATATTGGTAGAACCAAGGATCACCGAGGGACCATGATCCCTAGTGAAGCCCCATTACTTCATCATCAGGTCAAGCTAGTGGACCCTGTGGACAGGAAACCCACTGAGGTCCAGTGGAGATTTACTGAGGCAGGAGAGCGGGTTCGAGTCTCTACAAGATCTGGGAGAATTATCCCCAAACCTGAATTTCCTAGAGCAGATGGCATTGTCCCTGAAACATGGACTGATGGCCCCAAGAACACATCAGTGGAAGATGTTCTAGAAAAAACTTATGTGCCCCGGCTAAAGATATAAGAAGAAGATGTGATGGAGGCAATGGGGATCCAGGAGCCTCGAAAACACAAGAAGGTTTATTGGTATTGAGCCTGAGACTGCTGGTTCTGCCTGCTCAGTCTTTACCTTGAGAGTGGAGGCTGCTCAGTGTTCTATCAAAGCAACAGAAAAGCAGCTAAAATAGGGAGGGAAGGGTTTATTTCTGCTTACAGTTTATAGTACTTCATTGAGAGAAGCCAAGACAGGAACCGAAACAGAACCACAGAGGAACATAACTCACTGGCTAACTTTCCATGCTTGCTCAGCCTGCTTTCTTATACAGCCCACGACCACCTACTATGGGTGGCAATGCTCATGTGTTCTTCGGCCCTTCCACATCAATCATCAATCAAGAAAATATCTCACGGATATGTCTAGAGGTCTATTGAATCAACTGAGGTTCTCTCCTCCCAGGTAACATTAGTTTGTGTCAAGTTGACGAAAACTAACCAGGACCTACCCTGGCTGTACCACATACCTTTAACTTTGTACATCTCAGTGTCCTCCTTTAACCTTGGGTGACAGTTGCTGCTCAGGTAAGGACAGAAGGGGCTCACTCTTGACTCAAGTGAGCAAGGCATCTTGGCTGAGGTGACCTTTAGGCAGTGGGAGAAGAACTCCTCTGTCAGCCTTGCACACATTTGTATTTGATCTTGCTACCTTCAGACCTGGAAGCTGCCACCATACATGGGGAGGGCACCCACAGCCCCTCCACACATGCCCTGCCCTGAGGCTGCCTGTTAAACTCTGGTGCTCCAGATCTCCTCTCTCTTTTGCTGTTTGAAATACTCTGGTGTTACAGTGGGACTGGTCTCTTGTCTCATGGCCTCTGCTAACACACCAAGGTATTTTGAATGTAGGAGAACCTTTGGGTCATGGTGAGCTCAGCTCACTCCAACACTCCTGATTACCACTCCCTTTCTACTGCCTTTTCTTTCTTTTCTTCTTTTCTCTTCTTTTCTTTGTGTGTGTGTGCATGCGTGTGTGCATCTGGCACTAACATCTCAAAGGACTACTAGGAAACCTAGGTGAGAGCACAGTATTGAGCTGCATGGAGAAGGTTACAGCTTGGGTCACAAATCTAACACAGGAAGCTTAGATTGCTTTATTTTGTGACAGAGAATCACATAGCCCAAGCTGGCCTCAAACTCCACTATGCAATCAAAGACAACTTTGAACAACTTTTTCTTTTTTTCCTTCCTTTTTTTTTTTTTTTTTTTGTTTGATTTTAGAGACATGGTTTCTCTGTGTAGCCCTGGCTGGCCTGGAATTCACTATGTAGACCAGACAAATCTCACACTCAAGGAGATTTCCCTGCCTCTGTCTGAAGGTGCTGGCATTAAAACCATGCACACCATTCTCAGGAAGTGCCTCGCCCATAATCCTTTCTGTGAAAGGAGAGTGCTTGCCCATCATCATACTTGATGCTCTGGGTTTGATCTGAAGCCCCTAATAAACCATGGGTGGTAGCCACCTGTAATCTCACAATCCAGGTAGTCACTCTGGAGGTTGGCTGGGATTGGTGGTACATACTTTTAATCCTCTCCTGTGACAGGAAAAGATTTCCCATCACTGATCCCTGTGGAGACAAACATCTCCACTTATTCTTGCCCCTGCTTCTGTCTTATTTAGTGTCAACCAGAGAAGGCCAGGTATGTTCCTCTAATCAATCACATGGGACAGCTACTTCTAAGGATCCTGCCTCCTTCCCCAGGATGGCAACCCTCACCAAGATAGACCTGGTGCCTTCTGTCCATGACAAAGCTTTTCCCTTACCTTCAAAGACAAGTAAGGGGCCTGACTGCCTTGCTCTAGTGAGCAAAATTACCCTGATTTTTTTTTTTCAATTAGATGATCTTTACCTATTCCACATGCAGAGAGGATGCTGCTCTGTGCATTTCAGGCTCCTCCTGATAATGGCTGCCCTGCTTGGGGGCCATGGGAGTGATTGGTGAGCCTCCTTTCTCCCCCTCCACCCTCACAGGGGATTTTCATGCCTGGCACATGGGAAAAATAACATAGAGAAGAGACAGATGCCGTTGTGAACTAGAAGCAGCAGCTTGGTAGTGAGGTGTAGAATTGTTTTCACAAGCTGGGGCACTGGATTTGGACTATATCCACAGCCTCTGCCAGGGCCTCCCTCATCATCAGAATGGATCTGGTATAGTACCACCTCAAAGGAGCCACACAGGCCTTGAAGGACAACACAGGTGGTCATTGATCACTGCACTGAGTTCTAGGGACAGCCTTTCATCTGTGGCTTTCCAGTGGCAAAGCCACAGCTCCAGGCAAGGGCTGAGCCTGGGAAAGTCATTTTGAAAGTGGCTCCCAAGGCACAGTGGGTGCAGGTGAGGGAAGATCAATAGTATTCATCTGCCCACATCAGGGGAAGAAGGCAGGGAGAATAGCCAGGCTCTTGCTGCAGGGAAGAGATAAGAGCCTCAGGAATCAGCAGTGGAGATGGAGGCTGCAGGTAGCAGACAAGAGAAGTTCTGTGGCTTTGCAGCATGCCCCAGGAAGGCTGGGGTTCAAACTTGTTGCACCAATGGCCAGGCTACATACAAAACTGGTTGGTGCTCTGCCTTCCTCTAAAGACTCAGAAAAGGGTGGAGCCACAGAATGGGATGAAAGGTCTTGTTGAAGACAAGGAGGGTCCTTTTCTTCCCAAGCAGTGGGTGTGGCTGCCTGGGCAGGTTTCCCCTGACCACTGTGGTCCAGCATTGAAAGGATGGCAAAGCTGGAGCAGGGGGGATTCTCAGAAACTGCTGTGTGTGAGAAGGGCCAAGCATAAGAAAAAGCTTTATTGGAAAACTTCCAGAAAATGTAGGTAGAAAAACTACAGAAGGGGGGGGGGTTGTCAGGGAAAGTGGAAGTGTTAAGAAATTTTCCAGAAGTTTGGTGCCAAGGAAAGAAGATACAACAATGAGGCCTCAGGCTTGACTGAAGAGCAGGGTTCCACCTGCCACCACACCACCTGAGCACACCCCATCTCATTCATTGAGAAGGGTTCCTCGGGGCAGGATGTTGTGTGAGGATTAGATGGTCACCAAGGTGGCGATTTGCTATTGTTTAAAAACTTCCTTACATTTGTTTATTTTTTGTATCTGTACACGTGTAGGTCCACAAATGCCACAGAGCTCATGCGGAAGTCAGAGGACACTTTGCAAGCATCAGTTCTCTCTGTCTATCACATGGGCTCCAAGGATTGAATTTAGGTGGTTAGACTGGTTGGCAAGCATGTTACCTCTTGAGCCTAGGGTGGTATTTGGGATCCACTCTTTGACCAGATTGTTTTTCCATGTGTGAGTGTGATTTTTTACAGCATTGTTTAGAAAGCCCAATAGTACTTCAAGGCTGTGACACTATACATGGGCACCCCTCTCCCTTCCCACCTCTGGCTTCCTTTCCTGGGGTCACCTGCTATTGACTCTCCAGCTGCTTCTTGTTTTTTTTTTTTTCTTCCACATTGCTTTTAGTAATAATATTACTATTTATTGCTTTATAGTTTGCCCCTCATGAACACCATAAATCTCCACACACCCTCACTACATAATACCCTATTCACTATCTTCACTATTATCACAGCCCATGACCAAATTCATGTTTACTGTTAGTGTCATTATGACCCACAAATGTCTCAACTAAGACACTTAGGACTCTATGGCTTTTTTTCTTCTTCTTTGTGCAACATTTTGTTTTTCCTGGAGTTAACTATTGATTTTTAATTGTTATTGTCACTTAATTTCTTAAGTACTTTCTGATAATTGTTCCTCAATAATTAAAATTCTGTCAAACTCCTAGTTTTAGTTTGCTTTCTATTGTTATGATAAAATATTCTGACCAAAGCTATCTTGAAAGAGGATAAGGGTTATCTGGCTTACAGGTTACAGTCCATTATTGAGGGAAGCCAACACAGGAACTCCTGGGGAGAAAGGCGTGACTTCCAGGGATCAACATTCTAGAAAAGGCAAAAGTGTAGAAATTGAAAGGCATTTTGGGAAGGAGGCTTTGGGCAGCCAAGGGAGAGGGCAGTTTGGGGTTCCCTGTACATCCTGTGTGTGCATTATGAAGCTATGTGGTGGGTTCACAGTGTTCCACTTTCTAGCTCAGACACTTCATCTCTTAAACCTATTATATTACCTTGTCGTTCCTGTTGTGGTGATGGGAATGCAGCCTAGGAAATGCTAGGCAAATACTCTACAGCTGAGCCACATCCCAACTCTAGGAGCCTGACTTTTAAAATAAAGTTTGCAGCCCAATGTGCCTGGGAAATGCTGGGTCCCATAGCCCTGTTCACAGAGTCCTTGAGGATTAAGCTTAATCTGGGACCTTAATCAGGACTGAGAAGTCCTACAGTTCACTTACTCAATATAATTCTTTCTTTAAAGCTTTTCAGGGGACAATCTTCCACAGCTAGCCAGAAGGACCATCTTGAACCCCTCTATACTATCTGATCTTGAGGTTGTTTAGCCAATGGTCTCTCCGATGGCCCAGGAGTAGCTTATTTGATTCTGCCAGGGGTTTCTCTGAGGAGGGAGTTATCTCTTCTCCCTTTGCACACATTGACTACAGTACTTTATGATCCCAGAAAAGTGACTCCAGCCTATCTGAAGCCCGGGGACCCTGGGAGCCTGAGGGCAACTAGAAGCCCAAAGCCCTGATGGGCTCTGTTAACTTCACAGAGGCTGGTGCTGGTCAATGTGTCCCGGTGGGTTGAGCATGATGCCCATTTCCCCTTGAACTTGCACAAGGCCCCTCTCAGTCAGTCACTGTGATGCTACTTCCACCTGACATGGGGCAAGGGTCCAAACCAGGCAGTACAAAAACATCCTTGTCAGCATTTGCCCTTACAGTCAGAGAGGGTAGGGTATTCATAATAGTTCATCCAGTTACTGTCAAGCCCCTACTCTGTGGATGACACCCACCCCCCATGGAACCATACATGGAACCCAAGCTGGGAAGAAAGGAGGCCACTGTACAGGGCTGGCCTCTCTTGCTCTGCCAGACTGGAATCTCAGGGCCCCACCTCTGTCTCACCTTAT